CTTGCTCATTTGCTAATTACTATTATTATAAATACATTTAAAATGTTATAAAATAAAAAGTCTACTAATTGTCAATAAATAAATATTCTATTAGTTTATCCGGACTTTAAATCTTTTATTATACATACAGTATATCACAAACTGTAAATTATTTAATACATTGTATAAAATCAATAATATAACAGTACAGTACTTAAAATGAACTTTTCAGAGCATTTTTAGAAAAGTACAAACTAAGTACATAAACTATACAAGAGTACATTAGTATTTAAGTTGTAGTCAAATTGAATTAGATTTACAAAACATGATTTGTTCTCATAAAAGTGAATTTGTATTTAGTTTTTTATGAGACATTTGTAATAATAATAACATTTCTAAATATTATGTCTTTGAAAGGAAAAGTAGCTTTGATAACAGGTATGTTTAAAATCATATGAATTTATATTATATTATATTATATATTGAAGGCTTAAATTGAAGGATATTGAGTAACTTTCCTCTGAGAAGTATGGATGAACCGGAAGACGTGTCGGAAGCCGTGGCATACCTGCGCTCACCGGTCGCTTCATTCATAACGGGTGCCATTTGGCCGGTCGATGGCGGCTCTCAGTCATCGAAATAAAAAAATCATTTTAAACAATTCAATTTAAAAAGTTTTATAAAAATAAACTAATATTATTAAACATAATTCATCTTTATCAGAACAAATCATTATTATTATTGACATAAAGGTTAAAAATCATAAACCTACTTATTGTCAATAAACCAATTAAATTTAGATAGTATATCAGTACTTAAATAAGATTTATTTTTAGGACCTTGAATAATTTAGTACAAAAATAAGATAATAATTTTGTACTCAAAATACTTAAATCATACCAAAGCACAGTAGTATTTAAGTTGTAGTCAAATTAAGTAGACTACAAAAATGAATTTTAGTGCAAAAGTTGCATTAATAACTGGTAATGTCAAATAATAAATAAATACATTTTTATTTTATTAATTAAATTATATTTTATAATAAATTAAAGGCTCGTCTTCGGGTATCGGCGAAGGGATTGCTCTGAAGTTGTCGTCTTTGGGCGCAAATGTAGTCATCACTGGAAGGGATGACCAGAGAATCCAATCTGTGGTCAAAAAGTGTGAATCTCTTTCCAAACAGAAAGCACTTGGAGTTAGAGCTGACATTATGGTCGATACGGATGTAAAGAATCTGGTTGAAAAAACAATCGCAGAATTTGGGAAAATAGATATTCTCGTGAATAACGCCGGTATCGGACCGTCGGCTAAATTCGGTGAACCCGGGTATTTGGAGTCATACGACAAAGTGATGAACACTAATGTCCGGAGTATTCAAGTATTGACTCAATTAGTGGTTCCTTATCTGGAGACAACTAAAGGAAACGTTATTAACATCTCAAGTGTGGCCGGACTTAAACCCGTAAATAATTAATAATTAAAAATTTTTCTAAAATTTAATTATTTTTTTATATAAATATCTAACATTATAGTCTGGGAGGGCTATGCCATACTGTATGGCCAAATGTGCACTGGATATGTTTACTAAATGTTTGGCCCTCGAGTTGGGACCCAAAGGGGTTCGCGTTAATAGTGTTAAGTAAGTGATGAATATTATACTGGTTTTTATGAAATAAATTATTGAAATATTTTATAATTTCAAACCCAAGTCCTGCGGCTATTCGTACGCCAATCTTCGAGACAATGACTGGAAATAAGGATTATGTGAATACAGTTGAAAAGCAATGTCAGGATAACTATCCGCTGAGACGTATCGGTGAACCGGAAGACGTGGCCGAAGCCGTGGCATACCTGTGCTCACCCCTAGCCTCATTCATAACGGGTGCCATTTTGCCGGTTGATGGCGGTGTACTTAGAGCACCTATGCCTGCTAGATAAATTACTAATTTTTAAATATGAATTTGAAATGTTTAATAAAAGTAAAGCATTATTATTGAGCATATTTGTTTTTTTATTTGCATAATAATACGTTAATAATAATAATAATAATTGATAACTTATTGAAAAACTTGTTTTGAAAAATGCATGAGTATTTATATAAAAGATTATTTAATTCATTAACAGACTTAAGAATAGATCTGACATTTTAGGCAAACTATTGAGCAAATGAAAAGCAAATATATAATCAAATCAGTATTACAGTATATTAAAGTATTTTACATCAGTTTTGAATAAATATTTGAATAACAAATACAGTCAATCAAAATGTTGTGTCTTTCTTACGTCTATCTGCGAAATAAGATTAAATTACATTATTGTTTAAATTTCATATAATTGTCATCAAGTGATCCATCTTTATAATAATTTATATTAATGTATTTATTTTAGTCAAATTATTTACTTTTTCAAATAGCTAGATTATACCATTTCTACTAGATTTCTATGAAAACCAACATTTTGTTGATAGAGATTCCTATAAAGTTTGATTTAATTTCATGTAAAACTTATGAGAACCTTGAGAAAAATGTAAAACTTAAATTATGGCTTATTGATTTGTGTAATCTGATTTGTGTCAGGTTACATTGTTTCATTCATTCATTTGTGTCAAATTGTCTGATTTGCGTCAAAGTAATATTGATTGATGTGAAATCTCTTAAATCATAAGATATCAACTTTTATCTCTTACAAGTTTGCATAAATTCATTGATGAATAAACTTCTGGTTATAAAATTAATTTATAAAGCATATAATTTACATATTCGTTCATTTTTATTATTGCAAAAATGAATTTTTGTGGAAAAGTAGCATTAATTACAGGTGTATTAAATAATTTGTTGGTTTCAAATATAAGTGTACCATAAATAATGAATTATATTTTCAAATCTAAGGCTCGTCTTCGGGTATCGGCGAAGGGATTGCTCTGAAGTTGTCGTCTTTGGGCGCAAATGTAGTCAT